AAGTGTCTGAGGCCAGATTCGAACTCAGGTCCTTCTGACTCCAAGCTCTAACCATTGTACCACCTAGCTGCCCCCTGAGTCTCTTCTAAAGCAAGAGAATCTTGGAAACTCCAGGCAGCCACACTCCAGGGATAGCTCTGAGCATATCACAGTTCACACAGTAGCCATATAGTCACTGGAAAAGGTGATTGGAAGCTGCTTAGAGCAGAAATCCCTCTGTGGAGCTCTGTGTGATGCTTTCCACCCCCCTCAGTTCTGCATTTAGTTACTCACTGCCTCATTTTCTAGGTTTCTTTGCTTCTATGCTCTTGCTGCAGGAAAGTTCCCCCCCCAAATGCTTCAAATGAGTGCTTAGAGTAGCAATTTCGGGGTTTCAAAATAAAATTTATGATTCTATAATCTGGGTATTTCCAGGTATCTCAGTGCGTCATATGCATGGCAAGCAAATCCAGTTAGCATTATTATATGGAGGTACTTTGCTATGGATACAAAGGCTGGTTTAAACATTTCAGCCCTTGGGGAGCTTACATTCTAGAAGTGGTAGTGGTGGGGAAACCATGTCTACAGATAAAGGGAAAAACTACATACAGAGTAAATGCAAAGTAATTTGCGCAGCCAAGGGAAAGCAATAAGCCTTGGGGAGAGAGTGTGGTGAATTCTGTAGGAGGTGGAACTTTGAAGGGAGCTCATGATTCTTAGAGGCAGAGGACAGGAGGCTGAACATTCTATGGTAGATAGGCTGAAATAAAGGCATGGAGATAGGAGAAAGAATTTTAATAACATGTTTAATTGAAATTCACATTCAATGTAAGTAATACATGTAGAGCCTAGAAAGGGTTGGGAAATTGAAAAAACAAAACAACTCTCTAGATTATCATAGGAATCATTGGTCTTGGGAGTCACTACTGGTTGTTTTTATGTCTCAGTAATTAAAAGTAGTCTGAAAAGAGGTATCATGGTGTCATGGATGGACAACTAGTGTCAGACTCAGGAAAACATGGGTTCAAATCCTGTCAAATCCTGACACATATTGATTGTGTGACTCTGGGCCAGCCAGCTAAGCTCTTAATGCCCCAGTCAACTGAATAATTATGGAAAACTCCTCTTCCCGAGTTCAAATACAGCCTCAGACACTTATTAGCTGGGTGACCCTGGGCAAGTCACTTAACTCTGTTTACCTCAGTTTATATATCTGTAAAATGAGCTGGAGAAGGGAATGGCAAATCACTTCTGTATCTTTGCCAAGAAAACCCCAAATGGGGTCACAGAGAGTCAGACATGACTGAAAAACAACGAAAAAAAAGTTGCATTGATAGATGGAAGTTTTTATTCCAGTGAAACCAATTACAGTCCTGATTTAAAAAAAAAGTATATCTGGAGACAGTCATCAGCTCATGCTTGTTTTGTGACCTCAGTGAAATGAGTTAAAGGAAGACACCCAGAGTCTTGAATTAGCCTGAACAAGGCTGATTACAAGAGCTAGAGGTAACAACATTCTCTACCATCAGAAATTCCTTGTGCTATCAAAGCACAAAAGAGAACAGTTCTGGAGACTCTGAGCTACCCTTTTGGCTGTCAGAGGCAACTCTTTCCACTAGAGGATGTACTTCAAGCATTGAATGTCAATTTGTTTTCTTTCTTCTGCCATTGGGGGACGGAAGAAGGCTCAGAGGAATAGGCTGAATGGAGGTCATGTATGACTGTTGTGTTCTTGCATGTTCTAGATTGGGGGGACACTAGAAAAGGGGTCTGTGTGTGGGAGCAATTGCCAGCAAGTGGTCAACAGTCCCTCCAGCCTCCATCTTATTTACTGTCATGTTTTACATTTAAGAGCACTGCCCTCTCTAAAGAAGATCTCTTCTTGTACTCTTGGTCAGATTTGTTAATAGTACTGCTCCAGCAAGGGATCTGGGGTCTAGAAACTTCTCCTTCCTAGTTAGAATGCTAAGAACCTTTAAACAGTAGACAGAAGAATGCTCAACCTCACTGGATAAATAAATGACTTTTCTCCAAGGAGAGAGAGACTGATACTTAACGAGACCAGCAAGCCTTCGAATTGTCAGGGAAATTTCTAGCTCACTAAAAATATTCAGGAAGTCCTAGATTTGGAGCTTTTACTGTTGTTCATTTGTTCGAGTCATAGCTAACTCTTCATGAGGCCATGTGGGGTTTTCTTGGCAAAGATACTGGAGTGATTTGCCATTTCCTTCTCCAGTTCATTTTTTTTTTTACAGATGAGGAAACTGAGGCAAACAGGGTTAAGTGACTTGCCCAAGGTTACGCTGCTAGTGAGAGGCCAGATCTGAAGTCAGGAAGATGAGCCTTCCCTGCAGCCCTGGCACTCTGTACTATGACGCCACCTAGCTACCTCAGATTTAGAGCTAGAAGAGACTAAAGTCCATTGAGTCTAACTTTTTTCATTTTATAGATGAGGAAAATGAGGATCAGAGGTTAGTGACTTGCTCAGTCACAGAGCTGGTAAGTGTCTGAGCTAATATGTGAACCCAGGTCTTCCTGACTTGCTACCTCTCCATCCTAATCCATGAAAAACAGCTATAAATTGAAGAGGTAATTCTTAACAGTAACCATAAAGAGACACACACAGATATTCCTATAAATAGGATGGCATTTAGATGACTTCTTCTGGCTTCAGATAGGACTACTTTGAGATGAGACCATGCAGGCTTCCCTAAACTAAAGAGAGGAAAAGAGAAGAGAAAGGGAGGGAGGGAGGGAGGGAGGGGGAGAGAGGGAGAGGGAGAGAGAGAGAGAGAGAGAGAGAGAGAGAGAGAGAGAGAGAGAGAGACTGTACTCTCTAAAGGACAGGTTAATTCTGAATGAGGAGCTCCAACTCAGGTAACAACAGAAAGTCATCTTTTCGGATCTGTCATTGTGACAATGCTATCCCCTTAATCTGAGATCGATTGTTTTGGGAGAAACCAAGTTGGGGAAAGAGCAAATTATTTTGGCTCTGCTCCAGTACAAGCAACCAAGATGAGTCAGGGGATAATGATATTGTTTACTAGGCTAGCTAATAAGGCCGGGAAGTGGGAACAGTATCAGCTGACCACATCGTCTCCTTTCATGATAAGGTTTCATTCAGCTTTAGCCACTTAATTGGTGGGTGAAGCCACACACTGAGAACTTGGCTATTGCCCTGGTTTTCTGTACTCTTGGAGGGCTATGTCATTAAGTTTTCATGGAGAGCTCTCAATCTGAAAGTCTTGTAGGTACAGTAGGGAGATGAGTAATTAGTGGGCTCCATGAGCACTCATCCTAAGGGGAGTTCAAGATGATTCTACATCAAAGGCAAGGCTCTTTCCATGGACCCAGTCAGAACCCTCAGGGCTTTGCAAGATGCCATGACTAAGGCATGTAACACACCTGGAGACCAGGTGCCTCTTCAAAGGCACCTGAAAGCTTAAGCTTCTTCAAACTGATGTAGGCTGATTATTGGATGGACAGACACATTTCAGCAATAGGCCTGTGCTGGAAGCTTTTTCACTTGATAGGCAGGACAGAGGTAGAAGCATAGCTATTGAGACTTTCCAACCAGGGGATTCTTAACTTGGGATCATGGATAGATTTCAGAGGGTTCATCAGCTTGGTGAGAGGAAAAAAATTCATTAACCCCTAACTGAAATGTGACATTTCCCCTTCAGTTATGAGTTTAGGCAGCAAAACCTGATGCTGAGGAGTCTATAAGCTTCACAGACTGCTACAAAAATTTCAGAACCTTTGCTTTATACTATGATGGAAGACTTCACCAGATGAGGCCGTTAGTGGAAGGCTCTTTTCTAAGTGGGAGGCAGCTAGGAGGCACAGTGGACATGGTGATGGGGCTTGGAATTAGGAAGACCCGAGTTTAAATTTGACTTGAGACATCAGCTGTGTGACCCTGGGCAAGTCACTTAACTCTGTGTGCCTCAGTTTCCTCATCTGTAAAATGCGCTGGAGAAGGAAATAGCAGACCACTCCAGTATCTCTGCCAAGAAAATCCCAAATGGTGTCAGGAAGAGTCAACAGGACTAAAAATAAATGTTCTAACTAATGGAAATGACACTGGGATCATTACTGTTAAGTTAAAATCATTTTGACATTGAGGACTGTGGGATGAAGAGACTTCAGAGGCCATCCAGGCCTTATTTTGCAGTCCAGGGAGAAGTGACTGGCACAAGGTGCAGATGCATCAGAGGTGGCATTTGAACCCTGATCCTCTGATCCCACACTTGGGTATTTTTACTTACCGAGGATGCTGCAATGCTTGGAATTAGGGTTAGGAATAGGAATACAGGCAGGTAAGGCCACACACATTCGAACTCGGCTCGTGGTCCACATCCAGGGTTCTCAGCCCCAGCAGCTACTTTCTTCTTGGAAACCCTCTCTCGGCAACACTGAGTGCAGGCTGAATTCACCCCCTTAAGCTGAATGTCCCGAAGCAGCGAGCACAGGAACCGAGAGCTCTGAGGGCCGTCTCGCAGCCCGGGGTGGGGGACGGGAAGCAGGTGTTCCTGGCTCCCAGACAGCTGCAGTCTCGAAGGGCTCCGGGTTAAGCTCTTCCTTGCACGCTTCTCCTCTGACTGAGCTCGCGTTTCCAAGGCTAGTGCCCGGCGGGTGGGGGTGGAGGAGGCCGACGGGCGCTGTCGCTCTCGCCCGGCCGCTCTTTGCATTGGCTCCCGAGACGCCCCTGGCCCAGCCTCCCCGCACCGCCCCGGTGCCACCTTGCACCAATGCCCTGGTGCTCTCCCCAAACCACCTCCTCCCGTGCGCCAGGCTCGGAGCGAAGGCCGCCGCTGTCACCACCGCGAGGAAGTGACTTCAGCCGACCTCCCGGGGGAGCCCGGGAGCCCCCAGCGATCCAGGCGTGAGGCTACGCGCCCCGCCCCGGCCCGCAGCGGAGCCGCCACGTGCTTGCAGACGCAGCCGCTGCCAGGCTCCCGGGGAGCTGCAGACGTGCGGCCGGAGCTCGAGGGGCAGGCAGATCGCGGGCAGCCGGCGGCATGGCAGCGGTGGCCGGACCCCGGCTGGGCGGCCGGGCTGCGGCGGCGGTGCGAGGTCTGCTGGGCGGCTGCGTTCGGGGAGCCCCGGCCCCAACTCCTGCCGCCGCGAGCCTCAGCTGCAGCGCCAGGGGCTTCTGCACAGCGGCCGGAGCTGCCCCGGACATGAAGAGTTACCTGTGGGAGCGCTACAGGGAGGCCAAGCGGGGCACGGAGGGTGAGTGTGGCCGGCGTGCGGGGGGCGCGCCGAGCTGAGCCCGGCTCCGGCCAGCGTCCACTCTCCGGGGCCAGCGTCCACCCTCCCGGGGCAGCAGCTACTCC